ATATGTGTGTGTGTAACTGTGTATATATATACGTATATACATATATACACTTATACATATACACATATATACATATATACATATATACATATATATACATATATACACATACACATTTGCACATTTACACATACATAATATACACACATACACACACATACACATACATACACACAGAAACACAGACACAGACACATATACAGTCACAGTCACAGACACAGACACAGACACACAGTCAGAGTCACAGACACAGACACAGACACACAGTCAGAGTCACAGACACAGACACACAGACACACAGACACACAGACACAGACACAGACACAGACACAGACACAGACACAGACACAGACACATACACATACACATACACATACACATACACATACACATACACATACACATACACATACACATACACACACACACACACACACACACACACACACACACACACACACACACACACACACACACACACACATATATATACAAGGAAATAAAAAGATATATGTTTGAACAATGAACCACTGTCTATTCTTATAGTGAATCAAATTGATTGATTTTAAGCAATGAAATGTAATTTGATAGTTTGGAAACAGTTGTTATTTACTGATGTAGGCAAGAATATTTGTGGAATTTGCTTGATACATTTATGGGTGAACTGCATTTTAAGAGGCTGTCTTATGATATTGGAGTGATACTCTGTTTTGTATTTAGTAATGAGTCTAAGCAAACAGTCATGTGATATATTATGCAATAAAGATTTTGAAAGATTTGCAATATGGTTTAGAAATAGAAAAAATGTTTGTGTGAGGTGGGTGCAGTTATAGTGAAGATAACTGGAACACTGAGGAAGGTATGTTGATAATTTCTAAATCTAGAAAAACTGATTGTCAGTACTGCTTTTCAATACATGTGTTTAAAGCAAACTTTAAAATACTGCTGTATGCATGCAGTGCTTACAGTAAAGCCTTCCATCATATGTATTTAAATTTGGCAAAGCTGCATTTGGGGATCTTAACCATTGATAACATATATCTCATTTAAAAAGAGACCATATTATTGACCTAGTCGCATTTAACACAGTCTCCCATTATCAACTGTGGAAAATTATCTCACAGAAAATTAAATGGAAATCTATCAAGCCTGCCCTGCCTGTGTTAATAAATAGAAATTCAACTGGCCACATATAAATTAAACTGGTAGGGTATCGAAGACTGGTGTGAGTACAGGATGGGTAGATGCCAACCATTGATTATTTTTGATATGGCCAAGGGTAAATGTAAAAGTGAAAGGAAGAGGAGCTCAAGTTACACAAAGCAACATGTATATGTGAAAATGATTCACAAAAATATAAATTTTTTAATGGTAAACAAGCAAAATAATGTGGAGATTCTGCTGTCCCCAAAACTAATATTTTTACCTATGTGTTATTATATGCCTTTAGCAAATTCAATTTTACTGAGCTTTTTTCATAACCAATTGCTTGCAAACATGAGGCTTTACTGTACATCCCAACTGTGATACATTCGCTGCACTTTAATAATCCTAATCTACTTAGGGTTAAAGGTGCATGAACTGCTCCCTCCTGGCATGGTAGGTCACAGCTAAGGCAACCATGCAACATAATTACAGTGTTGAAATGAGAATGTGCAAAGGTGATAATACACTTAAACATTTATTGCAAACATATAATCAAATCTGTGGAGACTTTATAAAAAGATTCACTGGTCACATTGTATGCCATATCTAATATGAGTGCTAAAAGTTGTCATATATGGTCAACAGAGGGAATTAACTTTGAAATTATTGCTTCTTGAAAATCACTTTACTTTTGCCATTGCCATGTGACCACTGGAATACCTTTTAGAAGATAATGAAAGAAAGGAAGGTATGGAAGATGTGCAGTGAACTAGTGTGGATGAGCTAATAAACAAAATGAGTGAACAACTAAATCTCTTGAGCAGGTAAATGCCATCCTCCACACTGCAGCTTGTGGCTCTAGCACAGGGTGAGGAAAAGGAGAAGGTAGTTAAGCAGATGCTGGAACAGGGAAAGATTGAAAAATCCAAGTCAGATCCTTAGCAATAATGGAATTAACAAAGAAAGATGGGTTTACCCAATGCTCTGCAGACAACTGATGTTAGGTTAAGCCCAAAGAAGTATGAACTATTTCAGTGGAAAGGCCCATTCCTGGGCCTTGTAGCCAGTTGTGAGGAGAGCCACCTTGTGACCCACAGAATATGGCAGTTATGGAAGCAAGATCAGGAAGCTAACAGATGTGTGGAGTTCCTTGGGTTTCTACACTTACTTCTGGTGATTTGTCAAGGACTTTGTCAGTATTTCATCCCACTGCATTGTTTGAGTAAGAAGGGTGTGTAGGTCTGCTGGGATACCTAAAGTTAAATGGCATTTGAATGATTAAAGAAAGCACTGGTTTATGATCCATTATGGCCCTTCCCAGATCCAAAGCAGCAATATATCCTTGACTGTGATGCCAATGCTGAGGGGATAGGAGCAGCCTGCCACAGGAGAAAAGAAACCACTATGTCACTTTCAAAAACTTCTGGTTATTGTGAAGTGCCTTAACCTTTTCCATCAATATGTATTAAGATAGCTCTATATTTTTGAATATTTTTAATGTGGGGCAAAAGGCTTTTAAGCACAGAGGTTACTGTGTGAGAACAATAATAGTATCACTAGAGATCACTTGGGGGGTAAGCAAGACATTTAGTTGGCTGAAGCAGCAGTTTTACTGATTTGTGATGTGACGAGATGTCTAAAAGTAGTGTCAGATGGAGTTAGATGTAGCTAGACTCTTTAGTGATAAGGATGTTGTTTGACATCCGAATTTGGTCATAAAACAATAACCAGTGGATTGTAATATGGCTGCTCGCACTATTCCCTTGTAAGGTACGACACCATTATGTTTTTGGAACTTTTGAAAATAAGCAGAAAATGAAGCAGCTATTAAAATCATGCTAGTTTACCCCTTGTTACGTCTTTATGCCATTACATACCCCCATAACCAGATGAATTGAATTAGATTTGTAACTTATTATATAGTAGCAGAAAGCGATCAAAATAAGAGGTGCTTCTTCCCTTCCCTCTCACTCCTTCAACCTCCTCCCACCTATCGTCTCCTCTCTCCCTTTTCCTTTACCTTTCCTGTTCTACCACACTCTCTCCTCAAATTCCCTCTTCCCTTCCACTTTACGCCCTACAACAGCCCCACTTCCCTCCTCTCTCCATAACTTGCCCCTACCTCCTTCCCTCCCCTGTCTCCTTCCCTTTCCCCCTTTCCCTCTTTTTTCTCTGCTCGTTGTTGTGGCGGAGCTTTCTTCCCCCCCCCCCTTTCCTTTCCCTTCTCTTCTTCTGTTCACTCCCTAAGGTGTGAGAGCTGTGCTAAAAGGATGAAAGGCTGGCTTTGTGTCAGTCATGAACAGCCTCCGGGAGCCATGGGCACGGTATATCCTTGGTTAATTGTTTAGCCCTTAGATCGTCTCTTCTCCCCATTTTTTCAGGCTCACCGTGTCCAATAATGATTTTTTAAACCTTATTAGGGCATTAAGGCTTGCCCATTCATCAACTATGCTATCTAAATTTGATTTCATTGGTTTCCCAACCCCTGCCTCTCCTTTGACCACAACTCCTCGATGTTTGCTGTCAACTCTATCCATCCCGAACCATCCACTCAGGTCACTACTCATCCTTCAGAATACACCCCTTTTTCTCTCCCATCCTCCATCCCATTTCCTACTGCACAGTATTCTTAATTGTCTTCCCCCCCCCCTTTTTTTATTACTGCTCATCATTATTGCCCTCCGCCCAACAGTACTACCTGTCTCCATACCAGCCCATCTTCCTCCCACCCACGCCCTTCTTACTGCTTCCACCTCTGGAAACCTTTTGTGTACCATTTTTAGCCCAGCCAAGTGGGATCGATTCTTTGTGATTTCCCCTACAGCCCCATACTCTGACAATACCCTTCTCTTCCAACAATGTCTCCAAAAACAACCAGGCAAAGTTTGCTTTCGCAGTCGTTCCGATCATTCCCGCCTTGTCATAGATACATCTGAGCCCCAAGCTCGTGCACTATCTACCCTGACACCTCACTCGCACTAGCTATTTCTGACCAATCTCACTCTTCAGTAATACTTGTACCGGAAATGTTTCCTTCTCTCCGACTGATTGTCCTGTCTATGACAAGAACTGGTCAGATTGTGAAAATGACTATGATGCAGTGGCATTCCAATGCTACCCATTCCTCTCAGACGCCAACGTAGATCCGACATCAATATTGCCAAGATTAGCTCCCGTATACATGACTTCCCCATGGACTTTATATTGGTGGAGTGTCCTAACCTGTCCGACCATATCGACCTCTTCCCCGTCAATGTCAGAAATGGCATTTTGGCCACCCAGCCAAACACGGTCTCTCCACAACCCGCTGCCCTCTATGTGCTCAGTCACATATGCCAATTGTGGTGGCTCCCATAATGTATTTTATAGAAGTTGCCCTACCTACAAGCTCGAATCTGAGTTAGCAATTCTGAGGCCAGACAAAAAGCACGCCGACGAGGTTTTTCTTTCTGCTTATATCCAAACTGTACTTCACTCCGCTCCCCTCCCATCATCTCAAGAAGTCTCTTCCAGTATCTCTTCCTTCTACACTGAACTAATCTATCAACCTCAGACACATAATCTTCATTGGATCTGATCGTCCTATACCTTTAAATTCGTCCCCTTTTACAGATTACTACAGCATTCCATTTACTCTCCCTCTGTACCTTCTCACTGCCATTCTATCCTGCAGCGTTCTACAACCTCTGACATCTATCACATTTTACCCAGATCTAACTCATTCCAACCCTTTTCGTCACAATATTTTACTATAGTGCTATATGACCTTTGATGTCTAGGACATTTATTTTTTATAACCGTTAACCATCCCTCCCCCATTCCCTTTTCTTTCATAGTTTCCCTCTCTCTTTACCCTTTTTTTCTAAACTTCCTTTCGCCTTCCCCTTCCCCATCCCCCTTTCATCTTTAACCCTTTCATCGATAAGCTCTGAAGTAACATGCATCCTTCTGTATTAAACAGTACCATATTTTCTAAATTATTATTTTTACAGTACATTTGCATACAGCTACATGACCATAAGACAATGCATTGCTCAATACTCTATTTGAAAAGAATACATTTATATTTAGTTTAGTGTACACTTGACAGTGTCTTTTCACTAAGCCCCAGCACCAGTGATCATTTCTCAATTCCCTTGACAGATAAAATCTGTGTGTGTGTGTAAACACACACACACACACACACACACACGCACACGCACACGCACACACACACGCACACATATGTGTATGTGTGTATATATATATATATATATATATATATATATATATATATATATATATATATATATATATATGCATACATACACATATGCATATACATACATACATACATACTTTCATACATATATATATATATATATATATATATATATATATATATATATATATATATATATATATATGCATACATACACATATGCATATACATACATACATACATACTTTCATACATATATATATATATACATATACATATGCATACACATGCATATATCATCATCATCTTCATTTCAGCTCTTCTTGCCACTGCTAGCAGATGCCCTCTACATTCTTCTCCACGCATCTCGGTTGCGTGTAGTCATATACATACGAGTACATAGTATATATATATATATATATATATATATATATAT